ACTGCTTTGGTGGAAGGGGATCCTGCATTAATAATGGTTTTTCTGATTGATGAGACCTCACAGCAGCTAGTAGACGTTTGAGCCCCTTGGGTAGATCTTGATATTCTATGTTTGCAGTAATGAGTTTGGTGACCACAGTAAGTGTGGTTACCCCAGTGCACTATGAACTATGGATGGTAGCCACAGTGAATTCTTGGGCATGAATGAAATTATTAATATCTCGGAAAATAGGGGGAAGATTAATATTTTTTAAAAGGTTTACTTTATGTGTATTTTCTCTGCATGTATGGATATGCACCATTGCATGCCTGGTGCCTTCAGAGGCCGGAAGAGGGCACCAGATTCCTCGGTACTTGAGTTCCAGATGGTTGTGAGCCACCGTGTGTGGCTTATTTCACCAAACACAATGATTTCTAGTTCCATCCATTTTCCTTTACAACTAAAGTAAATTCCATTGTGTATATATACCACATATATCCATTCTTTATCCATTTATCTGTTAGATCTTGGCTGGCTCCATTTCCTAGCTTTTGAGAATACTGTGACAAGAGTATATGACGTAGAATGGTATAGCTGGGCCTTATGTGCATCTATTTTTAATGGTTTTATTGTTTGTTTTGTTTTTTGGTTTTTTTTTGAGACAGGCTTTCTCTGTGGTTTTGGAGCCTGTGCCTCCCGAGTGCTGGGATTAAAGTCGTGCGCCACCACCGCCTGGCTTGTTTTGTTTTTTGAGACAGAGTCTATTTAGTGCTGGCTGTCCTGAAACTTTTACTCTGTTGTAGACCGTGTTGGCCTCAAACTTACAGAGATCCTTAGTATTTTTGAGGAGGTTCTCTCTACTGATTTCCATACTGAATTTACCAATTTGCATTCCCACAGCAGTGTAGGGTTGCTCTCGAATTCTCCCTAGCATTAGTTACTTGTCTTCCTGATGACAGCTGTTGTGGAGTGAGATGGAATTTCAAAGTATGTTCAGTTGGGGCTGGAGAGATGGCTCAGTGGTTAAGAGCATTGCCTGCTCTTCCAAAGGTCCTGAGTTCAATTCCCAGCAACCACATGGTGGCTCACAACCATCTGTAAAGAGGTCTGGTGCCCTCTTCTGGCCTTCAGGCATATACACAGACAGAATATTGTATACATAATAAAAATAAATAAATATTTAAAAAAAAAAAAAAAAAAAAAAAAAACAAAGTATGTTCAGTTTAGATTTCACTGTTGTCTGAGGATGCTGGACATCTTCTCAAATAGTAGCCATTTCTTCTTACTTTTTTTTTTTTGAGACAGAGTTGTTGCCCAGTTTGTCATGAAAATCATGTCACTGAGAATAACCTTGATCTCCTGTCTTCATTTCTTTTTTTTTATATTTATTTATTTATTATGTATACAATATTCTGTCTGTGTGTATGTCTTCAGGCCAGAAGAGGGCACCAGACCTCATTACAGATGGTTGTGAGCCACCATGTGGTTGCTGGGAATTGAACTCAGAACCTTTGGAAGAGCGGGCAATGCTCTTAACCACTGAGCCATCTCTCCAGCCCCTCCTGTCTTCATTTCTTAAGTGCTGTGGTAACAGGGCTGACCACCATACCTGATACCATTTCTATTTTTTCTAAGAACTACCTATTCAGGTCATTAACTCATTTAATATGTGGATTGTCTCAGGGCTTTTACGTGTAATTTCTGCAATTTTTATATATTGTAGATACTCAGCTGATGTCTGATGTTTGAAAGATTTTTCTAGGCTTTGTTTTTTTGTTGTTGTTGGTTTTTTTGTTTGTTTGCTCACTTGCTTGCTTGCTTTTGAGGCTTCTTTAGGAGCAATGATTGAAATGTTGTTTATCATTTCTCATATAATGTAAGCAGAGAAATAGAGCCTGGGATACAGTTGGGAGAACAGCTCCAGCTGTCAGTGAAAGTTAGTTCATATAACTTCCATCTGGCGGCAATGAATGATGGAGGTCACGGGCAGGATTAGGCCCGTAAATTCCTTTCCAGCAGCCAGGAAAGGGTCTAGATTACACTCCAACCCCACCATCCCAGGTACACATCTGTAACTGGAGTGTTCAGGTGTCCAACACATGAACTCACACTCATACTTGTTCATGATTGGCTTGTGGTGGTTCCCCCAAAGGAGAGAATCTCAATACTTGACTTTCCTTCTAGATGTTTCCCAAGTAACCTAGCCCTGTTTTTGTCCTCCACTACCAGTCATCACTGTCCACTGTGGGACTCTAGTCGTAGTACCAGGATTGGCCACCTGGACCTGCGCTACGACAGAAGGCAGCACTGGCTTTTTAAAGAACCGTTTTCAAAAGAGTTTTTTCAGGCCTAAGGGATTTGGCTCACCAGATAAAAGCACATGCTGGCAAGCCCAAGGACCTGAGTTTGTCCCATAGGGCCCAAATGATTGGAGGAGGAAATAGACTTTCATAAGTTGTCTTTTCGACCTACACACACAATAAATAAATGTTAAAGATTATTATGGGGGCCTAGAGAGATGGTTTATCAGTTAACGACACCTCCTGCTCTTGCAGAGGATCCAAGTCCAGCTCCCAGCACCCACCAGTAACTCCAGTTCCAGGGACTCTGGCACCCTCTCCTGAGCTCTCAGGACAGCAGGCACAAAGGTGACGCATGCGCACATGCAGGAAAAGACAACATATAAACAAATAAGTGAAAAATCATTAGGCTAACTTTTGTTCTGAGCATAGTGATGTGTGCATACAGTCTTGTCCTCAGGAGGCTGAGGCAGGAAGAGTGCCTTGACCTTGAGTAACCTGGGTTGTGTAAGCAAGACCTAATCTCAAAAACACCAAAACATTTCTTTCTTCTCCAGCCTTCTTTTTGCTTTTTTAAAAAAAAATTTGTTTAAGGTTTTATATTTATATGATGTTTGTAAGTTACAGAGATGGGGTGGATTATACCACAGTATGCGTGTAGAGGTCAGAGACAGCTTGGCTGAAGTCGGTTCTTTCCTTCTGATAGGTAGGCTTCAGAGACCAAACTCAAACTTTCAGATGTGGCAGCAGGCCCTTTACCGACTAAACCATCTGGCAGGCCCTCCTCTTTGACTTTGAAGAGCAGTGTCTCGTGGGCTCAAACATGCTGTATAGCCAAGAATAACCAACCTTGAACTATTGGTCCTCCTGCCTGCATCTCTCCAGTGCTGAGTGCACTGCACCCGATTTTCAGTCTTGACTCAGTAATTAAAACTTTCCTCAGAGAAAGTGCCAAGCCCAGATGGCTTCACCAGTTTGCACTAAACATTTAAGGAAGAAATAGCACATACATGTGTTTTTCTCTCAGTAAAAGTTGGCTGATTCTGTATGTCAAATTTTGGAACTTACTCATTTTTATAATATATCATAGACTCTCCTTTAATTATGTGTTCTTCCATTACTGTGTGGAAAGGTATTCTGTTATACGAGTGGAGGTTGGTTTAGACAGGCATCTGAGTTTTGAACATGTGTCCTTTCTCCCCACAGTTATGAAATGCATGTCAGTTACTGCCTTGCTCATTCATTTCACACACATGAACATTCACATGAGGTAAATTCCTTTAAAACTTTTTTTATTTTACTGTGTGTGTGTGTGTCTGTATACAAATGCACTCATGGGATACTTGCAGAAGTCAAAGGAAGGCTTTTAATTCTTGGATAACTTCTTAGCGAGTAATTTGGGGACTAAAGGTATATAATCTATTTTTTTAAGCTAATTAAATTCAGGTTTAACTTAATTTTATTTATTTTGAGACAGGGTTTCTTTGTGTTGCTTTGGAGCCAGTCCTGGAACTAGCTCTTGTAGACCAGGCTGGCCTCGAACTCACAGAGATCCGCTTGCCTCTGCCTCCTGAGTGCTGGGATTAAAGGCGTGCGCCACCACTGCCCAGCCATCTACCTGTTCTTAAGTCCAGTCTTCTCAGCTTCTGTGTAATACCTTCTGTGCCTGTCTCTGTCATCCACATTTTACTCTTGGTATGGTGAGAATTTTTTTAAAATTTGTTTTATTTATTATGTATACAGTGTTCTGTCTGCATGTATGCCTGAAAGCCAGAAGAGGGCACCAGATCTCATTACAGATGGTTGTGAGCCACCATGTGGTTGCAGGGAATTGAACTCAGGTCCTCTGGAAGAGCAGATAATGCTCTTAACCACTGAGCCATCTCTCCAGCCCCACCCCGCCCCCCTGTGAGAGCTCTTACTTTCATTCTTGGACTCAGCACTTTCTCAACTCCAGCGTTTGTGTCAGCACCTGCACTGCTGGCTGGCATCTTTAGTTCTGGTACACTCTTCCTCTTGGGACTTTCTACCATGTAGACTGAGGATGAGCCCATGATGTTTTTCCATGTTACATGATTTATCCATTCCTTTTTAAAAATGTACTTGCTGACGCTAGCATGGTAGCAGGTGACTTAATACCAGCATTCAGTGGCAGAATCATGAATGTCAAGCCGTCATAAGCTATTCAGCAAAACTCTGTTTCAAAAAACCCAAAACTTCAATATCTGTCTTTATAAATAGAAAATAAGTTTCCTGAGAACAGAGACTGTGTTAGTCTTCCTTGTTAAATTCCTTATTTAGAACATGCTTGGCCTTGTATTTGTTGAATAAATTAATTCACTAATTTAACACTGGCAATTCGTTTAGTGACTAATGAATATTACTGTCTTCATTTTGTTTGTCAGCCATCTTTATGTCTGGATTCTATCACATTTTCCTACTAAATTGCCTGACTTCTGCATAATAGCTTTATTTTTATTTTATTTTTTTATTTATTTGAGACAGGATCCTATGTAGCCCTGGCTGTCCTGGAACTCACTATGTAGATAAGACCAGCCTTGAACTCACAGAGGTCCACCTGCCTCTTCTTCCCAAGTGCCAGAATTAAAGGCATGTGTTTTCACACTTGGGGCATAATAGCTTATGGAAACATCAAACAAATTGTGATTTCTGCTGACAAAGGTTACCTCTAGTAATTTATTCATGGTTTTTGTTTAACAGATTCTGAGATTGAGACTGAGAAGGAGCTATCCATTTTAAACCAGAAATGTTCTGAAGAAGTAAAAACACCAGAATTAGTATCACAGAAATTCCCAAGGGCTAATTCACACACACCTGAATCCCAGGAAGCTTGCAACCATAAAGGTCAGGAAGAAGAGAACCAAGGAAGTTCTCCTCGGAGTCTGAAGAGAGCTGCTAGAGAAGACTCTCCAGTGTGTAGGAAAGAACTTCCAGAAAATGCCCAGACATCTGCTTTTGATAGACACTTGAGTCCAGGCCCAAGTGTTGTTACAATTCAAAGAAGTAAAACAGGACAGAGAGTCTTTACATGTGATATATGCAATAAAACATTTAAATATAACTCAGACCTGAGTCGGCATCGCAGAAGTCACACCGGGGAGAAGCCTTACGAATGTGGCCCGTGTGGGCGGTCCTTTACCCACAGCTCCAATCTCATTCTGCACCAGCGAATTCACACTGGGAACAAACCATTCAAGTGTGACGACTGTGGGAAAACTTTTGGGCTCAATTCCTATCTCCGCCTGCACCAGAGAATTCACACTGGAGAAAAGCCTTTCGGGTGTAACGAATGTGGGAAGGCCTTCAGCAGAAGTTCCAGTCTTATTCAGCATCGTATAATCCACACCGGAGAGAAACCTTACAAGTGCAGTGACTGTGGGAAGGCCTTCAGCCAGAGTCCCCAGCTGACTCAGCACCAGAGGATTCACACGGGAGAGAAGCCCCACGGCTGCAGCTGGTGTGGAAAGGCGTTCAGTCGAAATGCAAGCCTCATTCAGCACCAGAGGATTCACACGGGAGAGAAGCCCCACAAGTGCGCCCAGTGTGGGAAAGCCTTCAGCCAGAGCTCCAGCCTCTTCCTTCACCACAGGGTTCACACCGGGGAGAAGCCCTACGTGTGCGGTGAGTGCGGGAGAGCCTTTGGCTTCAATTCTCATCTCACTGAGCACGTGCGGATTCACACTGGGGAGAAGCCCTATGTCTGCAGCGAGTGCGGCAAAGCCTTCAGCCGCAGTTCCACTCTGATGCAGCACCGCAGAGTGCATACCGGGGAGAAGCCCTATCGGTGCACCGAGTGCGGGAAGGCCTTCATCCAGAGCTCCCAGCTCACCCTCCACCAGCGTGTTCACACTGGAGAGAAGCCTTATGAATGTGGACTCTGCGGGAAGGCTTTCAGCCGGAGATCAGCCCTCACTCAACATCAGCGGACTCACATGGGAGAGAGTCCACTGGAGTTTGAGTGTGACCAGGATTTTGTTTATGACTCCAGCCATCTGTCCATGGGAGAGAGACACGGCAGGGCCTTCAGCCACAGTGCAAAACTTGTTCTCCAGTGGACAATTCGGAGTGATGAAAAACCCCGGGGATGCACTGAATGTGGGAAAGCTCTCAGCGCTTCCTCAGTGGAATATCAGAAAATTCAAGCTGCCGAGAAACCCTATAAATGCCAGGAATGTGGTAAAGCTGGCAGCGGCGTGTCCCATACTCAACATCATGTAACTGGGGTTGGAGAGAAACCACAATTGAATGACGGATCTGAAAGATACTTAATTCATATCAAAAAGATTTTTCAAGAAAGACATTTTTAATGTGATGAATGTGGGAAACAGTTTAGAAAGTTTGTTTTATATTAGGTAGGAAGGCATAATGAAAATTAAACTCTCATTAGCAGACTTGCCTCTTAGGCTGTGGCCCTATGTGCCTACTGTCTCCACCCACTCCACTCCCCACACCCAGGGTCCTGACTGACTCAGCGCAGTGGGCCACCTTAGCATCAGGTCAAGTTCAGGATTTTAGCACAAGGCCGAGTTTCAACACTAAAGAGCACTGACGGAAGGTTTCAAGATACGACATATCTCTTCATTGGTGATCGAAAACGAGAAACCCAGACATCTGGGGAATTGGGTTTGTCACCTTTGAGAATATTACTGATGCTAAGGACAAGATATGGCAGTATGTGGACGGTTTGGGGACTGAGGTGGCTCTGCCAGTCTCTAGGTGTAGAGGAGACTGAAGCTTTGGGGGACAGCCACTGTAAGGCAAGGAGAGGGGGCTACAGAGTGACAGTTGGTAACCGGAGCCTAGGGCCAGTATGACAGTGACAGCATGGCTGGATACCAGTTAGCAGCAGGTTGCCTGAGTCCAGCCTGCACACCTCCATGCTGTGTGCCCAGTGTCAGTGCAGACAGCGGGAGATTCTAGGTGATGTTTATTTATATTGTACTTTTTTATTGGAAGGTGTATGACCAAGCCATGATGATGTATTTGCAATGGCTGAGGAGTTCTGATACCCAGTTTCCTTTGGATTTATGAAGCCAATTAAAAAACGGAAAATCACTATCAATCTGTAGGGATGCGGTGTGACTCAGTACAGAGTGTGCCTAGTTTATACAAAAGCCTTGGTTTGATTCCAGCACTGTAAAAACTGGGCATTTTGGCATACACCTTTAATTTTAGCATTCCAGATATGGAGGCAGAGGATAAGTTCAAGGTTATCCTTAGCTACAGAGCAAACTTGAGACCAACCGAGGCTACGTGATACCCTATCCAAAACAAAACAGAAAACCAACTAAGTAAATAATACCAGCAAGCAAGATAAATTGAAGGGAGCTGGAGAGATGGCTCAGTGGTTAAGAGCACTGCCTGCTCTTCCAAAGGTCCTGAGTTCAATTCCCAGCAACCACATGGTGGCTCACAACCATCTGTAATGAGGTCTGTTGCCCTCTTCTGGCCTGCAGGCATACACACAGAATACTGTATACATAATAAATAAATAAATGTTTTTTAAAAAAAAAAGATAAATTGAAGGATTGCTAGTCATATTGAAGTTAAAAGTAAACACGGGGAATTCATCCTGGAAACTAAAGTTGTCTGTGTGGGCGTTACTGTTGCATGCAGATGAGCTGGATGGCACCACTCTGCCGAGTGAGGGAGAGCACTGCAAGTGGTCCCCACTAGTTCTTTCAGGCCCTAACCCTTGGCTTTGACTGACTAGATGCCCCAATTATGTCGCCTAGTTTTCTACAAGTTACACATTTTTTGATGCCCACAACCCTTGATTGCCAAGTGGTGTTGTGGTCCCGCAGATAGGTGAAGATCATCCACATATTCAAGTAGGCACATCTGAGTAGGGAGAAGGAATTTCTCCAAAATTTGTCCGAGTATGTGACCAAAAAGACTAAGAGAATCACCGAATCTCATTAATATTGTTGCTTTCTCTAAGAATGGGGATCTTCCCATTCAAAGGCAAAGAGGTCCCTGCCTTCAACTCCAAAGGTGCAAGCCCAAAAGTCATTTTTGTTTTCTAAGAAAGGGTTTCTCCTGGCTCTCCTGTAATTGCTCTGTAGACCAGGCTGGCCTTGAACTCACAGAAATCTGCCTTGCCTCCTGAGCCCTGGGACTAAAGACATGTGCCACCACTGCCTAGCCTAAAAGGCATGTTTTAAATCTATGACACTTTTCAACTTATAATGGTGTTTCTTCCTGAGGAGGGTGTATGTGTTAGAGACCACAGTGTGTTACTTGTAACAATCTGATAAATTGCTCTAAGGTCTTTGGCTATTTAATATGAACCATTTTGCTTGACTGGTAGGATTGGGGTGCTGAAATAGAACACACAAGCTTTAAGAAGTCTGTCTTTTATGAGCTCCTCAATGGTAGGGTTAAGTCCTAGCCTCCTCTCTAAGGGTACAGGGTGGTGTCTTCTTTAACCACTTGTATATTGACCTAGCTGGTCAATCGGAGGACCTTGCAGGTCACACTGATTTCCTTCCTGGGCCCAAACATTAGGTTTGATTTGTTTTTCAACCCAGGAAATCATCAAATTGAAGGAGCTCTTGGCTTCATCCTGAATTATGTTAAGTCCAGCTCTTAAGTTGGTGTCAAGTCTCTCACCGGTAGGTTGGTTCCTGCTTCTGGAACACAAAGAAACTGTGTTACAGTTTCCCTTTCCAGAAATTTGATTGGGATTTTTTCTCAAAAAGTAGAGGAGAGAATTCTCCCTTCGCCTTGATTACTACCAGTTTTTCTGGAGGACAGGCACATCCTTGGGAGATGTTTAAATAGGGAGGAATGGATGCTCCTGAATCAAGAAGAGATGCGATCTCTTCCTCCCAGGGAACTACCTTTAAAGGCTCTCAGTAGAAGAAGTAGAGCCTTTGATCCTGCCCCCAAGTCATCATTAGAACTGAGGAGGGTCATCACCCTGTCTCCAGTCTGGGCATTCCTTCCTGGAGTGGCCCACCTTTCCACATTCGAACCGTTTGTTTTCTCCTGTCCTTGCCATTTCTCCATTCCCAGTCTGCTGTAAGCCCCCCAGGGACCTCACTTCCTGAAAGGCATAATGATGACCTTATTGGGATCCTAAGCTTTGCTCCTGTTTCTGGGGCATTTGATCGACAGACAGCACGATCTTCCTTTCTGTTTCTGTTTTTCCTCATGTCCTCAAGTATGCCCTTGCTGGGCCTCCATGAGCAATTCTTCAAGTTCACTGCTCTTCCAGCTTTCTACCTTTAGCAAGGTTTTAGAAATGCCTGGTCAACTGTTGGTCACAAATGTAATTTAAACATCCGGTGGCCAAAGGAATCCTCCAGATTTAATCCAGAATATTTTTTCATTTGCTCCTTTGAGAATTCAGCTGGGCCTTGAATCCCAGCACTTGTGAGGCAGAGGCAGACAGATCTCTGAGTTTGAGGCCAGCTGGTCTACAGAGTGCTGAGACACAGAGAAGCACTGTCTCAAAAAAAAAAAAAATCAGTTGTAATTTCATCTCTCCCTTGTTAATATTCTCAGATCAGCAGATCAGGAACTGATTTTTCCTCTTTCCTAATAATAAGGTCCCTCAGACTCCTAGTATGTTCCCCGTGCACTCTGTGGTTAGCACCCCACTGGGGATCCTGACTAGAGTATGTCGCATTGATTGCCAGGACTCCAGGTCCAACTAGGTTCTCCCTGTCCCAGATGTTGATCAGAACCATTCTAATCATCCCTTCTTCCCAGAGAAGAGAATACAGGATTGACAGTAATTCACCCCAAGTATAAACCTGGAGTCCCAATAATTGATCCAATTGGTTTGATACTCCAGAGGGTCATCTAGAAAAGTTTTAAGCTCTTTTAAAGACTTCTTACTTGAAAACTAATAAGAAGAGCATTCACAAATCCTATTTCACTACCCCTAAGGGAACCCACTTACAAGTGTGTGCTTTGGCTGGGGAAGGACCTTGTATAGGCTGAGCTTTGGGGATATGCAAATATGAAAATTTCTATATCTGTTTTACATTGTTCTAGCTCCAGTTTTAAGTTGGAGTAAGAGGGATTTCTGGGAGGGAGCTGGGAGTGGGATAGACAGAAGTGAGAGATGAGTTGGAAGAAGAATAGGGTCCATATTGCTCCTACAAACAGCATGTTCAAGCCTGTAACATAAATGCCCCACTTCTGGTACTAACTTCTGTCTTAGTTGCTATTCAGTTGCCACAATAAAATACATCGACCAAGGCAACTTATAAGTGAAGGCACTTAATTGAGGGCTTGCTCACAGTTTTAGAGGGTTAGTCCATAGTTATGGTAGGCTGGCCTAGTGCTGGAGCAGTAGCTGAGAGCTCTAATCCAGTCCACAAGTTGCAGGCAGAGAGAGAGAAACTGGACCTGGCATGGACTTAAAATCTCAAAGTCCCCCCTACACACACACACACACACACACACACACCGTACCATACCTACTCCAACAAGACCACACCTCTAACCCTTCCCCAAACAGTTTCACCAACTGGGGACCAAGCATTCAAATACATGAACCCAGGGCATCGTTCTCATTCAAACCACCATACACCCTGACTTGAACAGTTTAGGGAAAAAGAGTTTGTTCATCTTAAAATTGTAGGCTTCCATCTGTCACTGTGGGGACGCCACAGCACCACAACAGCTGGTTCTAGACTGTATGGACAAAACAGAGCTCTTACCTGTAGGGCCATCCCCAGCCCCTAGAGGTTTGTTCTGTTTGTTTGTTTTTGTTTTTATGACACATGTTCTCCTGTAGCCCAGGCTGGCCTGGGACTTGTTCTGTAGTCAAAGGTGACCTTGAACTTAAGATCCTCTTATAGCTACCTCTCTAATGCTCTATTATAGGAAGCACCAGGTCTGGTTTGTGTGGTGCTGACAATCAAACTCAGAGTCTTGTACATGCTATACTAGGCACCCTACAAACAGTTTTGTCTTATGCACAGTTTTTCTCGAGTACATGACGCAGAAAAGCTTTATTTGGGAAGGAAGAAATGCAGTAACACATTAGAATAACTATAAAACATTTTGTTTGGCACTGTGTTCCTGCTGGTCTTCTGTCCTGGAAACACACTGAGTAAATTAAAACCATTCCTAGCTTCAGTTCCTTGGGGCCCCCAGATCTCATGGGAAGTGCTGATGCAAAACACAGCTCTGGCCTTAAAAGGAGTAATGGAGGTTATTTTGAGTCAAATTTGAGTGGCCATGGCCTGGGAACATAGATTTCGGCAGTCCCAATGTTAAAGTGGTGACATGAAGCTTTATTTGTTTTTCTGAGACAGAGTATCTCTGTGTAGCTTTGGAGCCTGTCCTGGAACTAGATCTTGTAGACCAGGCTGGCCTCAAACTCACAGAGATCCACCTGCCTCTGCCTCCCGAATAGTGTGATGCGTGCAACACAACCTCCCA